CAAACGAGAAAAGCTGCTTCGATCGAAGGTACCTTCACTTCCCACCTGATACGGTTGCGGGAAGGGAAGCACGGCGTTCGGATCCCGTTGGTTGTTCGCTACGACGATTATGAGCTGTGTGTCGATCCTGGTTTGTCGACGGAGGTGGCTACAGCTTTGGTAAAGCCCTGGGTTGCCAAGGTTGAGGACACGATGCAATGCCTCGGTGCTACAGAGGTTGCTAAAGAATGACAATACCAAGACATCATCTTCAAACTAAATGCCAATGGTCTTCCATGCATTCTGGCTGCCATTTGTTGGTGGCTTGTGTCTTCGCGAACGTCTAGATAGGGAGCTCTAAGCTGCGTTGAAGCGCCTTGGCTACCCTGCAGCTGTATGCATGGGGCTTTGGGCATATAAACAGCTACAACCCCGCCGCCCATCTGTTTCTTGCCCGCACCAAATCAGAACCCAAAAGAGCAGTCGCCAGTGTCTGCCCGTTCGCTCTTCCCGAACGACTTCAGTGCAATACCAACGGACCGATTGTGCGTGCAGAAGCAACTTCAGTCGGCGTCGATCATGGCCAAGGCGCTAGATGTTGACGCACTTGACGCCGATCTCGACGAACACGTCTTCCTTGGAGTCTGTGCAAAGCTCGGCTATGTCATCCATCCACTTGACGGCCAGTTGCCTGGTACGTTTCTCCTTGGAAAAAGTTTTGCTGGGACTAAAAGCCATAGGTGCGAAGCTACCCACGAAAGAGCAGCTAGAGACGTTCTTGGCTCTTTTACAGGAAGAAGGTGCTACTCAGACATTGCTGAATATATACGTCGGACACCCAAGCGGCTATCAGATCCAGTCGTACTGAGACTGGAGAGCGGGCATACATTGGGGTTCAAATGCGGCTGTGAGCAGAGCGGGAAGCTGAGGGCCGATTGTAGAGATTTGGAAGACGCTACAGCTGGATGAATACACTCTATGGCGCCTCGCGCTGGCTCAAAGGTAGAGACGCTCTTCACGGCGTGTTAGCTGTGATCCAACTTTGTTCCCCAATGCCATGTCCGTGTCCAGTATCGACGATCGGTCGGCAATTTACGCTCACTGTCCACCATCGCTTCACGCCATCCAAGCCATCACAACGTTCCGACGTGAGAACCGCAAGCAGGATCTGGAGGAAAGCATCAAAACTCCCGGACACCCGACACATAGAAACACCCGACCAAAAGAATTGATGGGCATGGTGTCCAGTGCTCCTCTATAATTCTCCTGGCGCACTTGGTTTCAGCGAGCCACCGCAGGAGATCATTCGCCTCAAAATCTGACCACCGCCGTAACGTTGCAAGAATGGTCGAACGATGGCGAGGGCGTCTGTTCTACTGCCATTGTGGTGGGTGATCCACAACCTTGGGCAATGTTGGGTTTGAATCCTCCAGATACAGCCACTGCATACTCTCCGTAAGTCCGCAGGATCAAAAGACTGCATAAAGGGTTCGCTTGTCTAAACATATCATCGTCTTGAGGAAACGGGCGATATACTTGCCCGTGGGTTTACCTTCTCAAGATGGAGTATCAGCCTGGATTCTCGGTCTGTGCCTGGAACGACGTCATGTAGGAGTTCTCGGGGTGCACTGCCGCCGCGATGAGGCAAGTTTTCCTTCCCTTTGTCCGTCCATAGCTCACCGTCGCTCTCGGTCCGTGCCCGACCCAACACGCGTCCACAGTCAATTAAAACGGCCTGCTGCGACTGCTACGGGGTTACGTCAAGGTAGGGCAATGCTGGCCGGTGACTCGCGCACCATGTCACTCGAGCCCGATCACCAAGTTACGTTGTAAGGCAAGGGTAAGATGAACCAGCAATATCGGTGAGTCACGACCCAGCCTCACCGTTACTAGCAAACCCCCTTCGGCCGACAGTTTCCATGGGTCCCTACTGCAGGGGATGTGGTGTCGCGTCCTGGAGCTGGCGAGAGATTGCTTGGCTGTGGACCGCCAAACCTGGCACAAGGATGGGAGAGCATGTCTGACGCCCCATGCGGAACGCCCATCGAAGTATCCGCTGTCGTTGCGATCACCCGTATGACACGTAGTGTGATACGTTGCCATTTGACTCGCGTGTGAACTTCGGTGGCCGGCGATACCGCGAAGTACCTGCGTCTGCGGGTCAAGATTCCTGCCCACCTGTATGTTAAGGGGTAACCTTGCAGGCAGAGTCTTAGTGGCCAGTTAGCCTACACACAAAAGCTCCGACGGTAAGAGCTGGAGCTCCTTAGCCAGTCGAGCCGACCGCCCAGGCAAGTGTTGCGGCGCCTGTCATATGTTGTACGTCGGAGAAGACAGCCCTCGTGTCGGAGGTGCGAACCACGGACGGGTCGCCTTGGGAGAGGGTAGACGGTGTGGCTGGTTTTTCTTGGTACCATCCCTGCGGCTTGTCAACCAAGCCCTGCCTACCTGCAGCGAGGCAGTCGTGCAGCAGACCACTCCAAGGGAGTAGACCGAGGAGCACGAGGCGGCAGATGCCAAGTGCCAGCGGTGTATAGTCTCAGCCGCCCCGCGATGGATTTGCCGTCGGCTTCTCATCTCACAGCAGGCGCCCACGGAGCACGCGCCGTGCGTTTCGCAGACTTCAAGCATGAACTAAATCACCTGCTTCCCTACGCTTTTGCTGTTTTTATTGTACGAGAGAAGAACGATCAACTCGGGCCCCTCATCAAAGAACCCTCAAAACAGATGCCCTCAAACCCTGCCAATCTGAGATCCAGGAGCTACGCGGAAGGCGACAACGGCGAAGACGGCGACAGACTCGACCACATGGCTCCTCTCAGAGACTTCGCGTACCATACCCCACAGCTGAGAGAGGGCGGCCCTACCGATCACATTGTACGAATGCAGCCTCGTTTCGATGACTCGCCCACGCAACAGCAGTCCATGCCAGCAAGTTCTTTATACGAGTCATCCAACCCTACGCGCAGACAAGAGCCTATTCGGCTTACAGGGGACTCAAACACCTCAATGCATCCCGGTGCCTCCGAGTTGGGTTTCGATGGATACGGCCGCGTCTACATGGACATAGAAGGGGTGAGAGTATCTATGCGTACAGAAGACTATCAGATCAATGTCTCTCAGGTTTTGCTAGCTTCAAAATTGAAGAAACAGCAGAGAATCAATCTGAGGGAGGCCCTGGAAGAGCACGGCGTTATTGCCCGTCGGGGACGACAAAATTGGGTGCCATTTCGTGATGGCGTATTCGCATGCCAGGCTACTGGCATCGACCAGCAACTGCTTCCCCTGCTCTCTTATGCTTGTCTTCCTTTTCCGGATCGAAACGACAATTACCTTCAGATCAACAAACGCGACCGGCCTCTGATGGAGATTCTGGAGGAGTCACCCGGCTTCGCAGGATTAGAGATTGGAGACAATGTTGTCGCGTATCGGCCGTCGGAGAGAACCATCAACGCGACGCAGCTCATCGCAACTAAGGACCCGCGACGAAATAAGCTTTTCAGATTCCTTAAAGCCAACCCCAATATCGTCACGGACAGATATGCACCTCATGACCGCCTTCGAGGAACTTACATATCATATGAGGCCGCCAAACGTCTTTGCGATCATGTGGGCTTGAGTCGCGATCCGATTGAACAGCTTATATCTATGGAGGCGGCGCGGCCAGAGATTTGTTCGGAGCGAGCGGTATTCCATCACTCTGCGGCCAATGGCGCAAGCAGCTCGTGCGACCTTGTCGATTACGATCTCGGCAACGGCGCCAGCACCATGATCACGACATATGATTCCGCTCATTGCGAGTCATACACATCGCTCTTGGGCGACAGCGGCGTCAGCTTTGCATCATGGTTCCAGCTTACGGAGCAAGATTGAGTGGAGGAACTCGCTGCATTTGATTGCGATGACGTTCAAGGCAACAGCTTTGAGATGCCAAGTGCCCACCATGGCGACGCGGCCGGGGCCTGCAGCGATGCTTCACGTACTCCCACCTTGGTTACGCGGTGGGAAATCGACGCTGGCTCCTATCGGTAATCTCTGGTCACTGAGCGGAGTTACGCCGATGGGTCATACTTGGCTCCCGCCGATCACTCATTCAAGCAGTAACTGGAGTAGGAAGAGTGGCATTGTGCGCGTGTATTTGTTGCTTGGGTATTATTTGTAGTTCAGCAAGTAGGGAACCGAGTACGTAAGATGCACGGTTCATATCAGTGAGTCACGACCAAGCCTCACGTCACTAGAACACCCCTTTCGGCCGACAGATTCCAGGGGTTTCTACAAAGGGGATGGGTGTCGTGTTCTGGAGCTGGTGGGACGAATGCTTGCTTGTTGGCATAGGAGCTGGGAGAGCACGTCAGACGCCCCCTGCGGAACGCCCATCCATACATCCGCCCCCGCGATCGTCCTTCTGACGCGTACTATGATACTCTGTCGTTTGACTCGCGTGTGAACTTCGGTAGGAGCTAAGGTTCCTCAGTCAGCCGAGCGTACTGCCCAGGCAAGTGTGGCGATGCCTGTCACATGTTGCTCGTCGGGGAAGATGGCCGTCGCGTTGGGGTTGCGAACCACGTACAGGTCGCCTTGGAACGAGGCAAACAAAGTGGCTGGTCTCAGCTTGTCATGCCAACGTTTGCCTGTTTGCTGCGAGGTAGCCGTGCCGACGGTCCGCGGAGTGGGCTCAGAGTCCACGGAGCCTCAAGTGCCAGCCGCTGCGGCACCCCTGACGGCCTGCCTTACGCTACTTCTCGGGTTCAGATCATTTGCCGAACCCGTCCAGCATTGCATTGAGGCCCAAAAACGCCTTGCAAGGTACTCCGTAAGGTGGCAGGTATCCGGGTGCCTTACCATCGAGGGCCGAGGTGCGTCCGGTCTGTCCGCGAACTGTCACCAACTCCTTGCGTTTATATGCGTGCTTACCTGTGCCATGTCCGTTGGCCATCAGTCACGCAAACAAACATTCTATTTTCCCGTCTGCCTTTCAAAGCAGAACCCAACTTAGAGACCTACAACAACAAAAGCCCTCCATGGAGCGATTCATCAAGGCTTGGCGTCCCAATTCGCACCAGACGACTCCCCAACCGAACGCTCCTTGGGGTGGTTGTCTCCTTTGCCAGGCCAAGACCCGACAAGAACTCTACTCCTTCGAGTTCCACATCCGCAGAGACCATTCCGCCCTATTCGATGTCACTGACATTAGAAAAGCCTTTAAACGTGTCTTGAGACAAATTGCACGGTAAGCACCGACGTCGCCACGATGTGCATGGTTATTGTCACGCCAAAATGCTACGGTACTGACCTGGCACATGCAGACCACAACCCTCAGCACAGTCTCCGGACGTGTTCGCCACGGATGCTGCGGTCGTGCATCATGACGATTGGTTGGACCGACATAAGGACTGCGAGGCTCAGTCAAAAGTTGACCAGCATGAAAAGGAGGTCTGCCTTTCATCAGCACCGGTGGCCCAGCTCTGCAGCTCCTCTCCAGAAGCTTCAGCCGACAGCCGCGCGAGCAGCGACTTGAGTGATCACTCGGAAACTGCTTCGGAGCCTGCTTCGGTGACAAAGATGATCAGGCAGCCAGAAACAAGACCAGTCAACCTCGAACAGTTGGTTGCCGAGGTGGAGGCTTCCGATGCAGGGCTATGCGTGATTGAGGCCAAGTGCATCGAGTGCGACGGCATGCAAGAGGCGGAGCCACCCGGTCAAGAGCAATACCAGGCCCTCGTTACCCTACACAAATCATTGCTCGACTGGCACTACGACTTTTTCGCGGCGAGCTGGCATCCGTCCGCTGACGAAGACTTGCATCGTCTCGCTCCCAGAGACAGGGCAGTAAGGATGTGGAAGCACGGCATGCACGCCTTCTTGGAGCGCCTTTGTCGCCGGCTCCCAGATACAGCTGACCACATGCGGACCTTCATCAACCACGCCTACAGTATAATGACACTGTTATACAGAGAGGTCCCAGCGTTCAAGGATATCTGGACAGAGTGTCTCGGTAACCTCAGTGAATATCGGGTGCTTATCGAAGACAATATTGAAGACAAGAAGGTGTGGACAACCTCCGCAAGATCTTGGTACGGCATGGCCGCGGACAACGCACCCACAGTCGGCCGGCATTACCATCGTCTTGCCAATCTGGTCCCTTCCAATGCGCTTCAGCGATTGTACTTGCACTCCAAGTCCCTTTGCGTGCCTAGTCCGTTCCTTGGCGCGCGAGAGAGTATTCGGACGCTATTTGATCCTTTTTCGTCCCGCTCAAGCGAAGGGCTCGACCCCGTCGATGCTGCATTTGTACGCGTCCACGGGATTTTCTTCACCGGAGAGTGCAAGAAGCAGCTACAGACGTCCATAGATGAGTTCTTAGAACTCCTTGACAACCGGATCGAGCACCAAGACTCCTTTCTTTGGCTTGAAAAAGGGTGAGGTGGTTCATATCTGGGAACCAGATTTTGATACCGTGCTGACAGTCACCTAGGTACTATTTGAGCATTTCACTTTGTTGCTTGATGCTGGACTTTGGTGCAGATTCCAACGTCCTCATGCAGGCGTTGACAGGACACCGTGCAAATGAGCGAGTGGGCGACAAGTCGACACAAGAAGACCATTGGAACCCCGAGGAGAAGTTCGAGCAGGCTGCGCACGTAGCAGTACGAGCTTGCGAGGTTATATTCAGGAGATTGGGAGACATCAACACGCTCAGCTTCATCCATACCATGCTCGCCTTTATGCATCGGATGTCTCAACTTCCGGCCGCCATGTCACACCTCGAAAACCGATTCCCCTGGGGCCTTACCTGCAAGATGCTCAACTGCTTGATTGGGATGACCGTAACGGAGCCGAGAATCAGCCCAGAAGTGCTCCCGGGCTCAGATAAGCCGGAGAAGGGGCTTTCGCCCTTGCCCTTGCCTGAAGACTACGCGTTACGAGGGCTCCTTTTCACCGAGCATATCTTCCCGAGTGGCTGGTTCGACAACAGTAATCTCGACGAAGCGGAGCGCTACATGGAGTCGGGGCGAAGGACTCTGAATCGTGAGCAGCGGCTGAAGCGCATTCTCTGGCTCGGCCGCAGGATCGCCAGCAACGGCAAGGGACTGGCTTGGGACGCGAAAAGGCGCCAGTTTGAGGAAGTTCGACCCGCTCTGTCTCGTACCACGGCTATGCACTTCGGAGGCGTGTCGGGACGAGGAACGCGGGGGTCGTATGCGCGAAGGGTTCAGGGCTGGTTCAGGGGCTGCCTCTGCTACGACGAAGCCGCGGTGCGCTAGTTACTGTTGTTCCCAAATATCTCGCGTGCAGCAGCTACTCAAGCGCACGCCTCTCCGGGTTGCCGGGGACATGGACGAGGCAGGCGACGATGCCAGGTGTTGGCGTGGCAGTTGGAAGATACGGGCCGCTACACCTATATCCTACTATCTAGTAACATCTACATACGTTATCCTTCTCCTTCTATGAATGGCGAGGTGCCATGGCATTGTTTGTAAGTAGCTTTGCTGCAAGCCGCGGCTTGAAACGAAGGTTGCAGATTCGGTCCAATCCACCAACTCTAGATCAAACTTTGTGAACTCAAGCGCGAGCGTGAGTCGTATCCGTCGTAACTAGAGCAATCAGCGGCCACGAGGGCTGACCCTGAATTGTGCGGTCCGTGGCGCGCAGACAGGCTGCGTTGGCACAACGTACGCGTTCGTGCATGTCGCGAATCGCGCTCGTGCACTCGGACGAGCCTAACTTGCATCACTATGGTATGCTTACATTCGTAACTTGCTAGCGCGTCTTCTATAAAATACAGGCGTACGGATATCTGCGAGCGCAGAAGGCCGTGAGAATCTGTCACTGGCCCCCTCCCTTGTGGCGGGGAAGGTACGTCCGTCACACAAACTTCGCCGACGGCAGTTGTGGAGTTGTCCCGTTGGCAGATGCGGAAAGTCAACCTCATAGCTCTTTCCGAATCCTCCAAATAAACGTGTTGGCGCCAGTTGTGGCGATCCATTACGATCGGGCCACGGAGCGAAGATGACCTGCATAAATTGGCTGTAGCAGGCTGGCCCCCGATATGCCTCCAATTAACCAGGAGTCTTCGCTTTCACGCCGATTCTCTGCACGCGACGACGAGGCGCTGCCCCCATGGAAAAGAGTATTTAGGCTCAGATGACATTATTGAAGACGGTTCCAATTCCGAATGCGACAATGAGGGCGATAAATCATTAAGAGTTGTGGCCTTTGGAGATTTCGCCCATGGCGGTCGGAGACCCAGGACAATGTTATCCTTTGCAGCAGCACTGGAGGTAATGAGAGCTTTCGATTCCTTGGCAAACATGAAGCGCAATGGCTAGTGCTAGAGGAGTATCGCAATGCGTCGGAGGCTTGCCCTGCTGAAGGGATTTGGACCATCGATAATTCACCGACCTATAACAAAGAGATACGAGGGCGAGCCCGGCGCTTGTAAGCCATTGAGGTACTTTGGGTCAGCGATCTGGTGGGCTACTGGGAGATGCCGCCAACCCATGCGGGGGCCGCCAACCCGCTCTTGTCCCGCCCATACTGTAACGTTCTGGCCGACTTCCAGGGAATCGGACGTACAGTAACATCGTGGCTGGGGATGTTTGAGAGACAACAGTCGCTGTGACTCACATCCTAAGCCTCAGACGCTCAGTCGCCCGCAGGCGGCGACCAGACGTCCACTTCTGTTCCTCGCGTCAAACGGAGTCAGCTGTCATCCTGTCGTAGACGCTTGTCCATATCTTCTTACAGGCCCCCTGGGCGCTGCCTCGCTGTCTAATTGTTCAGGTGCAAATCATTGATGTAGTTCTTCTGCATCATCGCATCGGCATTTTGCCGCAGCCAAGCGTCAGGTTCTCGACATCGTTGCGTGGCGTCTCCAGCCGCATTGTCCGGTTGCAGACGCCCGACATCAGTGGAGGGGGCGTCCGTCCAGGTCCTGATGGTCAGTGATGTGGAGCTTCCATTTCCTTGCGCGTCCGCCCCAGTCAACAAGCGGCTTACACCGAATTCTGGACATGCAGGTGCCCATTGTCGGACAGCCGAGGGGAGCTGGTTTGGTGCACTGTCCAGTTCCCGACAAGCCACCACACGCAACCAGATTCAAGTCAGAACCAGGCACAGCAAAGGTCGCGAGAGAGGCATTTGCGCACCTACGTGCACAGAGGCCCATCCAAGGGTCCGGTTGCCCATTCGCGGGTGGACGCTAAGATCCTCGCTCGTTTGGCTTTCCGGCGGATGCGACTCGTCTGCCAAATATGTTTCTTCAGCAGCTCCCGCAAGCAGTACCCCGCCTTTCGACTGGGCGCGATAATACATCATTGTGTCGACTATTTCCGTGTCCTCTGCGATAGTTGCCGTGGACGAGAACATATGCCGCTGTTGAGAACCCACGAAAGAAGAGGTCAGGCCCCATTGTTCTCAAATGCCTCCTGTAGCCCATTGCCGAGTCCCTCCTGCACCCTGCCCGATTGCCCTAGGAGTCAGACAGCTAGAAATGCATCGTGCCAGACGGAGAGATGTCGACGAATAACGGGAAGAGACGGAGAGGCCTTGCATACAGTACATCCATGACAGCGTTGGATGATGGCAAAAGTCCCACGGCACTAATGCATAAACAAGCTAAGACTAGGCAGAAGGTCCCCTGTGAATCGGGCAACGAAAGACTCTTGATTTCTATCTAGTGTTGGCAGGCAACCATCACCCAACTGCGGAGATGCCGCTCATCATGAACGCCGAGGTTGACACGCTCAACGGCCTTGCGCCGCGGGCCTGCGAGCTCTGCCATCGCAGGGACGGCCTGATGCGCTGCGGCGCCTGCCAGGCGGTCTACTACTGTGGCCGCGAGTGCCAGGCCGCCGACCGTGAGGAACACAAAATTCCGTGCAAAGTCATCAAGAAAGCCCGTCTACACTACGAACGTGAATACGAAAAGCTGCGAGACTTGCCTGGCGACTTTCTCACGCCTGAGAAGGTGTTTGAAACCCAGGTCGGCCACTTCTGGGGTATCCTCGAGACAAGACCGTACATGCGTGCGCGGTACGGGCTCGTCGACGCGCTGCTGCTCAGCTACGGCACCGCGGGCGGCCCCGTCGATGTGGTCCAGACTGCGCTCGACCATCTTCTTGACATGCTGCGCCTGAGTCGCTCCGACAACATGGGCGTGCGCCAGCTGGTCCCCAGTCTGTACGTCCGCCTCGGCCGCGACCAGGACGCATACGATTTTATCAAGTGGAATACCGCGACAAGTAAGGATTCGAGCTATGACTATGGCGACACTAGCCTTTCGTACCTCGACATCAAGAATGCCGACGTGTTCGAGAGCCCTGATGATGCGTGGTTGAATGAGCGCTGGATGGATCTCAGTCACGTGGTGGCCGTTGCACTCATCAAGGTGCGGATCCTGCTCGGCCTGGAGGCCATGCAAAACGCGGAAGTCGCCCTCCGCGGAGCCGTCCCTGCCGAGATTGTCGAGCTCATCCGCGGTCAGCTTGTCGGCAGTCCCATGGCCGTGCGACCTCACATCTTGCTTACCAAGCCTACGGAGACTGCGGAGCTGACCGACGAGATCCGCGGCCATATAAGAGCGCTGTATAGGGCTGTCCAGGGATACAACGCGCACTTCTGGAAAATACTTGTGGAGGAGCCTGACGCAGGTGTGCTCCAGCGGCCGAGCGGGCCTTATGGTCAGAGGACGCGGGAAGAGGCGTTGCTCATGACCAGCTACAGCTACGCTGCGTGGTACGAGACGCCGGGGGCCGTGAGCGTGCTGCGGAGCCTGGCGAGGATCAATTTCAAGTAGGAGGCGCATTTAGCGTTGGCCGGCGTGTCGTTTTGTCTGGAGACGATGATCGACAGTTCCGACACCTACACGTAGTCCCGGTCGGGCAGAAGTAGAGATTCCTAAGACTATGATTTAATTACAGTACACCTATTGAGAAGCATTTTGTCGGAGGACTGTCTCCTGTCGCAACATATGGAGCAGTTTATTCAGGGGTAATATGTGGTATCATCTGTCATGGAACCGTTACAGATCGTCCGAGTGGAGCATCCTTGGGGCGAATGAAGCCATTGCGCCCGCGAAAAATGCACAACCTTAGGGGAGGTAGCCATTCAAAGAGAACTCAAGAGCTTCATCTCTGTCCATCAAAGAACACTGCCATGAGGTAGCACGTTGACTTCACAACGAGAGTGAACTAGTGAGGTGGCGAGGGGTATCCGGGGCTCGGCCGTCAGGCCTGTTAACGTGGGCGAGCAAAGATTACTGCGGGCGTGGTCCTCTGGCAAGGATCGCCCTAGCGCGAATCGACGGCTCGTCTACTTGTTGTATCAGTGTCGTGATCGAGCCACGAACAGTCCCTGTTTGATTAAAATAGAAACCAGCAGAGGTGAGCTTTAAATCCTGCAATCTAGTGTACTTGCTGAGGGTGTGCAAGCGTGATTCTCGGCAGACTGAAGAGCCACTGCATTTCGATATCTCTCAAGGGTCTTTATGACCTGATCTCTTATGCTGTGGTCCCCTTGCCGCCACACGCAGTATCTGCCGGCCACTTCCAGGCAGTCAAACTCGACAGGGTTGCGCAGGGCCTCGTGGGATCCGGAGAAGGAGCTGGAAGACGAAACATGGCTCGGACCAATCGGGGTTGTCTCGGAAACAGAGCTCTACAACTCGCGACGGCGGCCAAGTTAGCTCCCAGATTCGTTGTCGGACTTCCACTGGCAGGTCGGAAAACGACGGGCGGGGTTGGTTCGCTCCATGGGCTGTGCAGTTAGCAAATGACCGCTGCACTACCTCGAGCGAGCGACGAGAACAATACCAAATGCCGTGGTGTTAGAGGACAGAGTAGTAGCTGGTTGCGCGGCCGGGAACTTGAGCGATGTTGTTGGAGGTTGGGAGGGTTCGGTGGCAGTCGTTGCGGCGGGACACCGTAGAGGCGACGCGGCTGCTGGTCTCGGCGTGAGTCCTGGCATTAGATGACCAGGTTCGCTCTCAATCGGCCGCCGCCGGGGCTGCGTGCTGCTGGCTCGGACGAGAGACACGCCTCTCGAACTGCAATGCGTGGGTCGGCTCAGACGACGTCCAATGGGTGGCTAAGAGCGCGTGGGAGGGAGTACCAAGGCGTTCGGTGAACGTTTAGTCAGTGGTGATTGTCCGCTTCTTCCTCGCAGGCCCCCCGCAGCTGCAGGTGATCTGTATTGGCCTTGCAGCTTGGCGAAGTCCACAGAAACTGGACAACGCGGCACGCGAGAAAGTTGTGGCTCTCGAGCGTGACTCCGGAAGATTATGTGGAAGCACCTGGGTTAGCAACAGGTCATCACTGGCGGGTTGTCCGCTTGTTGCCGCCACGGAGCCGCTATTCTCCCGTTTCCCCCTCATGGCTGCGGGTTCCAGGTATTGGCCTTGCATGAGCGTCTCCCAAAACTGGGAAATCTTCAGGAAGCAGACAGCGAGCAGCGCAAGGAGCTTTGCGGTCATCAAGCAGGGCTGCCAAGATGGAAGTCCGGAGGATGAGGCGGGTTGGGGTTGCCGTGGGCGTCAGGGGCGTTTGCCCACCCCACGCCTACAGACGGCCACAAGTGACCTTGCATGATCTTTACGTAAACGGTAAGGATCGTCAGGACCTGGCCGACGCAGCCTTGTGGCCTGCCGTGACAGGTTCCTGTCGTGGGGGTGGCTGGGAACTAGGGGCGATTGTCCACTTTTGGCCAACTTGTGTCTGCTACGACCACCCCCCTCCCCCGCTTCGGGTGGTCAGTTGCGGCCTTGCACGACCTCCTTCTGTACATCATCAGAACTCATCACGAACTGGACGATTCAGGTACGCAGGGAGCTTGTGGCCTTTCACCATGGCTTCCAGGAATGGGAATATCACGGCTGGCTTTGGCTGCGGGGATGAGTTTCTGGGGGTGTGGATGGGGCCACTGAAGTTCACCTTTTGCTGCCAAGGTGTACTCTTTCTGCACCTCCTGACCGACCGCGCTGCAGGTGCCGTAGTCGACAAGATGACCACTTGGGAGCTGACCCGCCCTTTGCCCACATCAGGACAGAAGGCTGGTTTCTGCTTTTCGGTGCCACTGGCGTTACAATGTCTCCAACTGGGCAACTGGCCCTTCGGACGCGGCGGCAGCATACCGCACTTCCAGAATCAGGTCCTGCGAAGCCATAATGTCCTGCATAGAAGTGGACGCACCCACGTCACGACAAGAAGGTGACATGACCTGCATCAACCAACAACATGCAGAAACTAGACGGCAGGAAACGATGGACGCTGCAGCACGAGATGCCACCAGACGATGTCGACAAACCGGCTTTCAGCTGCGATGTATAGTAGCGTGCACCTGGAGAATTGTGCCAAGATCGCGTGTCCTGACGGTGATCTCTTTCTTGCCGCCATGGGTGCAATTCCCGCTCCCCCGACCTGGCAGGTAGTCGACAAGATAGCCACTAGGGAACTGTAACCCTTTGCCCACTAAAAGGAAGGCTGGTTTCTACCTTTGCCTTGCAGATGTCCTGTTGCCTGTTGCATTCTCTCCAGCTGGACAAGTGGCCGCAACAGGGAGGGCCATCGCATCCATTTGCCATTATGGCGGCTTGTTGCCGTGAACTATTCTGGCGGGCCTCTTAGGGTTATGGGCGAAGCAATGTCCAAATACGACTGTCTCCATCACCACCCCGTCTTAGACCACCTTCTGCACACATCAGAAGAAGGCCGTATTCTCGTCTCTACTGTACTTTGGCCGTGCCGGCCGTGGACAACTGTAATTGGATAAACGGACAGGCCCAGAGATGGCGTTGCTACCGTAAGTCTCTAATGCAAACGTACCGTAACGGCTAAGTGCTCAACTTTGTGGCGTTGTTGGCCCTACTCTAGACTTGCGTCCACATGCGTCCTCGGGATCGTGTGGTCACCATCGGACGCGGCAGCAATTTACCGCACCAGATCTGCCCATTTTGAATCATGTCCTGTGGTCCCATAACGTATAGAAATGGACACACCTCCACGCCACGACGCCGAGAAAGTGACATGACCTGTAGCAGCCGACGACGAGCAAAGACTGGACGACAGGAAGCGACCGAGATGCCGCCAGACAACATCAGGAAGCAGACTTCGGCTGCGGCGCAGCGTGCACCCGAAATGTGCCAAGACCGTGTGTGCTACGGTGCTCCGCTTGTCAAGCTTTGCACAATGTCCGCGATCGCCGTAGTCGACAGTTAGACGCCCAAACCCCTGCGACTGCGTCTCGGCGCAAACTCCACGTCTGCGAGCGGCATGTCTGGGACCGGGCGACGCCGTCCAAATGATGGATTTGGACAAACCAGGAACCGGCCGTCGCCATGCAACCGCGTTGCGAAGCTGACATGTACTGTAGCTGCCCCACGCGACGCAAAAACTGGACGAAGTGGTTTCCCATACTTCGCAATGATCTGCTCGGCAAGTTCTGGTTGCCGCTGCTACGGTACCAATGTCGAGAATCGACATGCACCGTAGCTGCCAACACGACGCAGAAAGAAGTGGTCGGCGCACGTCCCCGCCCTCGGTGGTCTGCACGCGTCGAACGAAGCGGGTCCTGGCCGCCCCATCCGCTCATCGACCACGTCAGGAAGCGGACAAAGTGAGATGCAGGCAAACGGCGCGACAAGAAGCCAACGCACGGTGGGTAACAGCCACGTGTAGAACAGGACAATTGAACGCTCTCGAAAGAGTACTCCGCAGGTCGAAAACTGGGCGGCGTACCCGCAGCGTCGCACTGCACATGGCCTGGCACACCATACGCGAATCCAAATCATGAGCAGCATGACACGAGTTGGACAACGCTCTCTACGCATGGCAAGGAGTGTCACGCGGCCACCTCATCTGGATGCAGCCCCATAGCGACGTCCGGGTCTGGGCCAACTGCCCACTTACTCCATGTCCATACAGAACTGGGCGCGTGTTTCCACAATGCCACAACTCGCCCCGGCTCCATAGCAACGCCGGTGCGGAATGAAAAGTCTCTGCCGAACAACTGTACCAGATGGGCCAATTCATGCTTCTCCTTGGCCGGGGTTATGGAGCCCATCTGTCCCATCTGTCTCCGCACTTTCGGTGCGCAAGGGCGCACAGGATATGGCCAATTGCTCACAGCCTTCCACGGCAGAGCCTGCTCTGCTAAGATTGATGTTGTACTGTACTGTAGTCTGGATTCTAGTAATGCTGAACTTGGGCGCTGGCGTTGACTCTTTCATGAAAGAAAATTTGCACAGCTTGTCTGTGGCCTCCCTTTGTGGCGGCTGGAGAATGCTTTCGTACTCACCGCCAGGTCCATGAGCCGGTGAGGTACATTCGTATCCAGCTTTTGCGATGTGGCTCATACCACCATGGGTGGATGTCCAGTTCTGCAATGAAGATAGAGAGACACCCGCTGCGTAAGTACTGCTGTTGTCTGGGCAAAGCTTTTGTCTCTTGCGAGCTGGCCACAGCACAAATGGGCGCCTCCTGCTACCACTTGGAAGTCCTAACGAGCGGGCGACGCAAGAAGGTAGCCGGAGGACTGAACAACAAAGAGGGACCGTCTCACTCGACGCTGTTGGCAATCAACACCCCTCATTTCACTTTCACTTCATCTGCTTCAACGGTCTGACTATGGTACATCGTCGAGTCTCGCCGCTCGCACACATGGACGGCGTCTGGGTCGCTCCCCAAGCCCAAGGCGCTGCTGCACGGGCTTGAGGCCGAGTTGCTGGCATACTCTCCCGAGGAGCTGGTGCGAATCGCCAACGAGCAGGTTCGGTGATGCGACGCCGAGATGAGGCGCGCATTGCGCGAGCTCGACAGCGACACTGGAAGCGGCCACGGAGTACGTCAAGACCAAGTCGGCCCGGGCAAGCAGACGCAGCTGGTGTGGAGCCGCGCGAAGGCGCCAACTTCGTGCGCGAGGACCAGTGCAACTACTTTGTCGGCGCACTGCAGCTGTTTGAGCTGCGTTGGGAGGCGGTGCTGCAGCAAGGGAAGATGACGACCAGGCCTGCCATCCACTCCCAGGCAGCGGAATGCTGAAAAAGCGAAAATCCAAGCCCCAAAGCTCCTGTCCTAGCGTACTCTCCGACCTAGAACTGGCGGCATTACTTGGTGTCACTGGCTTTTCGCCCTACGATCGATCAGCGTCAGCACCGCTAGAGTGGTAGCCGCTACTCGTCACACTGCAGATTGGCGCGACGAAGAAGCAGTTCTACAGGCGTGCCATCATGCCAAAGCGGGCCGTTACGCTCTGACCTTCCGCCCCACTGGATGACACATTTCCTCCAGCGACACCTTTTTCCTCCAGCGACACTTTTTTCCTCCAGGAACACCTTTTTCCTCCAGCGACACCTTTCCTCCAGCGACACAATTTTCCTCCAGCGACACTTTTTTCCTCCAGCGACACTTTTTTCCTCCAGCGACACTTTTTTCCTCCAGCGACACTTTTTTCCTCCAGCGACACTTTTTTCCTCCAGCGACACCTTTCCTCCAGCGACACCTTTCCTCCAGCGACACAATTTTCCTCCAGCGACGCGTTCCCTCCAGCGGCCCGTTCCCTCCCGCGACCCGTTCCATCCAGCGACACATTTCCTCCAGCGACACCTTTTCCTCCAGCGACCCGTTCCCTCCAGCGACCCGTTCCCTCCAGCGACCCGTTCCCTACAGCGATACATTTCCAACACAATCAGCTTGTGCCAAGGTCTTTTCGGTCCCATAGTCTCAAGACCGGAGTACGCCCCAATGCCGCCCATCCAATGCATTTGCGGTCCGTCGTTTCCCGCACGCAGCTATTGGCATCATCGGCAAATCAAGCATGTCCATTGCTGTGGAGCTTACTTTGCCGGTAAGAACTGGTCGAAGCACGAAAAAGAAACTGGTCACGCCGGCGTCGAGATCCGTCCACAACCAAAGAAACAGCAAGTATCCAAAGGTCGGTGTCGTGATCTAATCGATTGCGAGCTCGGATGCGGGTCGACTCTCGAACGCCACAGGATGCCTAAGCACCGCGGATCAAAGCATTATAAATGTGATTCATGCGGTTTAACATTTCTGCTCAAGGGGCGAATACAGCACAGATACAAAACTGCACACGACCACTACACGGAGGTGAACCTGCCAAACCCGGAGCAACTGGCCGCCGCTCCCGGGGCCTCGACGCGGCTTACAATGAGCGACTCCGTAACGTGGAGCGAGAGCAATGTCACCGCCGAGATGCGCAGGAAGTATGAGTTTCCCATTCGCACCTTGTTTCGCGAATGCCAGACCAGCCCGATCCCTGCCCTGCCTACTGGATCAAGGTGGAACCGTAATCGTCGGCTCCTCCAACGGATATTCCCGGAAGATCGCGACATACCATTTGCGCGAATTGGGACTTTCTCAGACACGACCGATGACGCGGAAGTCTGGTATGTTACGGAGAAGCAGATCGAGGAGAAGGTCATCGACCGAGGCTTTGTTCTGCGCAAGCCCACTGTGATCAAATCACATCCAGCAGGAAGGTGTGGGCGCAGTCTCGACTTGTTCTTGGAGGCATTGCATAATCACTTCGCCGGTAGTAGAGTGGACGTCCAAGATCTAAGCACGACAAAGACACGTCCCGTCTCGATGCCCGTCGACGCAGTTATCAAGCAAATCAGAGAAGGGCCGGATTTTCGCGCCGGACAACTACCCATAAACCTGCTGAACTTGAAATACTTTGGACAGGCACCCCCGACGCCCACGTTCCTCAACATGCCTCGGTTTGATGTTCTCCCAGCAATCGGTTCACATCTGGAGGCGGAGTTCAGCAGAGAAGCGATCGCCGGAAAGCGTGGGCATGCCACAGCCAGAGAAGTCGACCTGGATCGTTGTCTAACCTTTTCGCTGTTTGCGCAGAGGGGATCTTTTACCGGGTTCCATGTCGATTGCCCAGACGGAACCTGGGTGAGCAACGAGTGGGGTTTGAAGCTTTGGATCTTTGCCAGAAACAGTGACGAAGCCGACATGACCGAGTTCGCAGAAGAGGGCGCTGAATGGGCTCCAAAGGAGGTTGCTGTTATTGTATTAGAGCCAGGTGATACCCTGGTCATGCCTCCGGCGGAGGTCGTACCTCACGCTGTTCTCACTCTGGAAGACTCCCACATGGTCGGTGGCATGTTCATGGACGCACATCGCATTGTGGACTCGATTCAGAAACTTTTCTGGATAGCAACACACCCTACGGTTACGAACGAAGCAATCCCTCTCCAGCTACTGAGCGGTTGGGAGCATCTGCGTAACCGGTTTTTGGCCCAGGACCGACCCGTGGCTGACCGTGACAAGTTCGACGAGATCTCGGAGCTCTTGCGGGCACAGCTAAGTTGTCAATGTCCTGGTCCGTGTCGGAAGAAGTGTTCCTCCTGTCGATGCTCATCGTCCTTGGCGCAAGATGAAAGATGCACCAGCTGGTGCCACCGTGCGCCCGGCAGTAATAAGAGGAAGTTATCGACGAGGGCTAGTGCGTGATCGGGTGCAGATTAACGCAACACAATTTCTTATTGCCAATATTCTGCTTGTTGGCTGGGCAATCTCGGCGTGCTTATTGACTTACTAGCTAGGTGGCGATTTTCTAATCATAGCCCCTCATTAGGGACACTCGGCGCAGGCAGAATCCATGTCGTGGCGATTGTGTTGTGCACCATCAACCAGATAGACGCTGATGCAACATCAACGATAACATGTCGGCCGTGCTCACATGTGTGTGGCGATTTGTGATAGGAGCTTGGAGAAAATTAACGAGTACTTTGCGACTTATCATATATACATGGAAAACACATAAACGCACTTTTTCGGCTGGCACAGTTGTAAGACCTGTAGCCGGTCGTGGGGCGCACGTTGCTCTCGGGCGAGTGCTATTGTTGGTCCAGATGCCAGGCGAAAAGAACGTGCCGCGCGCGGGATGCATTTTGGTGAGGCAGCGGCCTTCTTTGGCTTGTGTCTACGTCCACGACACCTGTACTAGGATGGCGTGGTACTGCTCGGCGTCGGCCTGCCGAGGGCAGGTCATGCGCTGGTAAGAATTTGCCAAAATTGACTTGGAAAACGCGAATGCTCTTCTTTCCGGTCTGGTTTCTATGGCTGCCCATTGCAGGCCTCGTTGATCTACTGCCCCAAGCCGATAGCGGCACAACCCCCTTTCTCCCTCCTTCGGGCGGGCCAGTTGACAGGAAAGTGCGATGCGACGGTCGGTTGCTTGGCACAGCATCTTGGTAGCGGCGCCTCCCGTGGTGGCATCAAAACGTTCTGGATGGCCATTGAGTCCTCGGAGGGTTGTTTCAAGACTTCCGGCCTGAAATAGAACGCACCATCGCGCAAGTTGGCTCCGCGGCCACAGTGAGAAACAAAACGAGCGATGCCCGGACTCCGCCGGGGGAGTGGGAGCAAGCTGCGATGAACAAGAAGTTCCGGAGAATCGCATCCACCGAAGGGGCAAAGCGCATAGGCCGGCCCCAGCGGCTGTGGCGCCTTGTGAGCCGCTCGCCACAGCCGCGACCACAGTCAAGTCCTCCATGCGCGTGCCCAGCGATTGTCCCAGATCCATCTGCTGAGCTGTCCAAGACCGGTGTCTCCGCTGCCGAATACCAGACTCTGCAGGTAGAGACCTAAAGACAACCTTAGGAGACAGCACTCACCGTCACAGGTTGGCCCGATAGGCGACGTGGCGGAGTAACTGGCGACGAACAGGTGGCAGCTCGTCGACCGCCCTTGTCAGAGTCCTGACCCTCCTGACGCTCTATGTCTTGCGACCCTGGCTTCGCTAGGAGGGCTTGATTTTGATGGCTAGGTCTTCGGCGAAGTTCTCGACGCCTCTGGAGTCACCGCCTTTCCCTTCGCTCTCTTGTGCTTCGGCGGCGTACTCTCTATGCCAGGTCGGCTGCGCAGCCTCTTGCGCTTCCCTCTGGTCTTCTTTGGTCGGCCGGGCCTTTCGTCCGAGGCCCTACTGTTGTCGTCGCTCGCACCCAGGACTGCAGGCTCCCCTTGCCCAGCATGCCTTTCCCCGCCGCTAGCACCTCCGGCAGCGCGGCCCTGTGCTCTGTTGGAACGCCCAGGCTCCAGGTTAACATGCTGCTCATCAGCGTTTCTTGCGGGCAGGTTTGACCCAGCGACGTTTTGACCGATGTTCTCCACAATCTGGTCTGCCTCTACGCTGGGATATTCCTCGCTGTGTTTTTCGGCTGACCGCCCAGGCACCAGTGTCGTTGACTGCTCATCCGAGGGTGTACGGGACACCTCATCCTGGCCTACCGGAACAGAGCTGGCTAGTACCTCGACATCCTTGTCGGCTTCCGGCCCAGCGTCGGATGTGTTGACCTGGTGGCTGTCCGCGAGACTGTGCTCGGATTCCTCCGAGTCGGTTCCGACCCTCGCATCTTGGTCACCATTCACAACCCGTCCGGTGCCCTCGGTGCCCGGCGACGCACCATGCAATAGCGAATTACTTCCCCTGCTGGCTTGGTCGGTGACTTGATGGTCCTTGTACTTCGTCACCATGCGGTCGTCGCCAATTGCGCTGGCGTGCTCATCTTCTTCTCGGCCAGCTTCAGCTGAGCCAGCATCATCGACCGCGGTCTCTTGGTTTGTGTCTGCGACATCGCCGACACCCTCGCTAGAAGCACCTTTGACTTTGAGGAATAGTCTGTCTTTGTCCTTGAGCAATCCCAGCGCTTCCTTATGTCGCCGATGCCGCCCGGTCTGCCGCTCTCGCCAAGTCATTTCGAAGATGAGTGTCTTCCCCAGATCTCCCCAACGGAAACGGATTTTAACAGTGTCACCTGTCCTCACTTTGCCGCTGAGATTCAGCGGCACCTCATTCATGGGTATGGCGCGATCAACATCCCAGGCATGGTTTTCCGTGTCGAGAGAATGCTCCTCCAACTGAGTGCTTTCAACAACGTAATGAGGCTCAATCCGAAAGGCACTGGGCTGCGTGTTGATCTTCATTCGTTCGTACTTGGTTTCGAATTGACTGGATCCAGGGTTCTTGAACGCCAGAAGTCTTCGCCGCGGTTTGATACGCTCCACAGTCCTCGATGGCGCGCCTGGACCGTAGTAGTAACCTTCGACAATGATGCCAAAGCAAGATTTTTCGAATTCCTCCATCGGATTTTCGTCGTACTGCAACGACGCGCCCCTGGCCCCCGCATGACTATATCGCGATTAGAGGGAAACGGCAACGGGTGGGATACCGGTACATACTCTGCATCCTCAGCGTCCGCAATGATGACTCCAAATCCGGCGTCGCTTTCACGTCCTTGCCGTTCCAACTCTCGGCGCCAGTCCTCGATACAGGCCGTCCATTTTTCCTTGATAAAAAAGTTAGAAGCGCAAGCGCCGCCGCTCAAGATGACATAGTCGATATTCGTGATGTCCAGAAGCATCTCACGCGCCAGTCGGAGAGGCTCTTGGTACGCATCAATGGTGATCCGCCGAAACTCATCCGCGGAAATGATTGTTCGGTCGCCTATTTTGTACGGAGTGCAATCCTCGCTCATCTTGAAAAAATGTAATTGAGCAGCGTTGAAAAGGTCGTTTGCCTCTTCCTTGTTATTGGCTTTGTCTTTGCACAGGCGTTTCAATTTCGTCCAGCCAGAGCCCATGCCGCCGCCACAGCCTCTTGGCTCGCTGAGCAGAATCACGCGCCCGCCCTGGATTTCCGCGCCCACGAAGTCCTGCGAGGCTATTAGCACTATTCAAATGATGTTGGCTGAGACATCGAAGACAAACTGCTGTGCCGGAACCAATATCGAATAATAATACCTAGCGGGGAGTCAGTCACTCGGTCCCACACACGGACTCGACTACAAACCCTTGGACTCCCTTTTCTGCCTTCTTTACCCAGCGTTTCCTCGACGTCCTCGTTTCCATGGAGAAGACCCCTGACGGTAGCACCAGGCTCTGACTCGAAATGGATTGGATCCTCCGGAAACCCAGCCTCAACCATGAGTTTCGTGATGTCGTTTTGTATTTTCTCGCCGTGGGAATCTCTGGTCCAGATCGCCGGAACGAGCGGTTCCACGCGCTTTATTTTCCAGCCGTCTACGCCATAGGAATGGTGAAGGAAAGTGACGAGTGTGTCCCATAAAAACGTCACAAACTTGCGAAACACGTCGCGATTTCGAACCGCATAAGTTGCGCAGAGCTCCGTGAACCGGCGGCCTTCCCCATCTTGACAAAGGTTAACATCCAGCGACTGCTTGACACCGGAAGATGTATTTTCGCAATCGACGGTCTTCTGGTCCTTTGGGTCGCACAGACCCAACAGCTGGAATTGACCTCGAGCCGGGCCGAATATGACGTCGGTGGGGAACATATACGTTTCTTCGAGCCTTCCCAGCGCAGAGTAAGCCTTGCGCATCGGAACTTTCCTGGGTTGGGGATCATCTGTTGTTGTGATGGCCGCTCGCAAAGTGCCACTTCCGAAGTTTATGCCAACATGGACATGTTGGCACTGTTGCGGCGCTGCGGCGCGCATTCTCGTTGGATCACGCATTCGATGCAACAATATCTGTCGAGGCGACAATGCACGGGGGCCACAGAGTTCTGGGCGGGCGCGGCGTACTGGCGGAGGGACGGTGTGTGGATGTGGAAGGGACAAACGCCGCTGGCCAGGCGGAATTAGGTACGCGGCGCATGAGCTGGTCACCGCGCCTCGTCGAGGCGCGTCACGGCCAATGGCAACGCGACTCTGGGCCTGTCTCTTATACACATCTAGATGTGTATAAGAGACAGGGTCTGTGCCATCCTTTGCACCTCCTCAAACTTTTTATTCACAAGATTTGACGGTTGTCCGCGAACGTGTTGGCCAGCTCCCCTTCAAGGCGGCTCATGTTTCCGTATATCGGCCGAATGGTCACGAAGCGGGTAATAGTCCTATCAGTACCGCTCGAAGTTTCCATCGGCAAAGCGCTAAATGCCCTATCAGCCTTGCAGCAAAGAGAAGCGAACAAGAACCGCACGGACTGCGACGCGATCACTTTTGTCTAGGCTAGTTGAGGCGTGGGTCATAGAGTGCGAGAAAGACACTCCCGTCGTTGAATGAGACCATTTATGATGTCGAGCAGGTGGATCGGCTACGCAATTCGAGCGCCCCTGTCCATGGTATATATTAGCGAGGCTCAATCCTTGGATTTGCGGCCCCTCGCCAATATGCGTCGATGACGAAGCCGACCTCGCTTTTGCGAATACGGCCAGGTAATGGCTCCACGGGAAGCCCCCGGCCAGATCACGCAGGCAGTGTGTGCAGGCATCCGACCGCAGTTGCTCCGGAGCCATGGGTAGGCCACGCAGCAATCCCCTTCTACGCAACGCTTTCCGTCAACACAGCGCCTCACTGTCAACGCAGCACTTCGTCGGCAGAGAGAGCACATTGTTGCTGCAAATACAGTACCGTTAAGCTGAATGCTGGTCAGTCCGTAACCACTGCCATACGTACGAACCGTGTGAGGGTCAATTCGTCGATTGTCGTATGGGATCTGGACACAAGTGAGTGCGAATACAGTGTGAACCGGGCCGTCCGTCTTCACATGCTCTGCAGGTCATTGCGCTGAAGCAGTTCGACCATTCGGAGGAGGATGAAAGGACGAGGTCCAGGCAACGCTCACCAAGCGACTCAGACCCACGAAGAACATGGCACGCGATCACTATAAGCCGTGAATGCTGCTGTAGCGGTCCGGCTGTTGCTGACAACGCGTCTCCCTTTTGTTCCACTATCGGTATGTATCTGACGCCTTACACTGCCATGCTGAATACGGAATTGGGCAACCGGTGAGCCGTCAAGGTCCATCATACCAATAAAGGGAGCAACCATCGAGTTCGCGTTACATAAATCAGATGAACTATTCCTAGTGGTGAATTGGGGATGGGCGACGTAAATGAAAAGGAACCCGATAGCGTGAACTATTACAAGGAGTCCAGCCACTGGCGCGTCCAGCGGCAGGATCTTGAACAGTTGCAGTCTTCCTACGATTGCACCATGGAGCAGTACGGAGGTAAGAAGTTATAATCTCCACAGCGATGTGCAGGCAATGATGTGCACGCCAAAAAGGATGGGCCGCGATCACACTGTCTCATTTCATGCCTCACTTGTAATATGCCCTTGCTGTTGCTCCTCAGACGTTATTCGAGTCACAACTTCCATAACGCCTATGTGGCCGTTTATTAACATATGCGTACCCGTTCCTCGGTGGGCGCCCAGGCGCCATGTATCAGCTGCCCGATAGAAGTACCAAGAGGGTGGGCTTCGAGATCTCGGATCGATGTCTCCATTGCTTCGGAAATAGTTTCATCGAATCTCTTTGTTTTGCTGTGGAGGGCGTTGGCGGACCTAAGTGGGGGTGGGGCATCTTTAGCCCAACATCGCGCTCGATGCGTTTCACGCGTGGGACGACGCCAAGCGAAAGGGTCCAGGGTACGCTGCGCTCGCTCGAAAACGCAGCGGCAAGAGGGGCAGCACAGCCGGCAAGGCGACCTACGCGTATCCTGGGGGTGGGAAACGAATCCGAATATGTGTACGACCAGAAGAAGGCTCCCAAGAATAGCAAAACTGGGAAGGCAATGCTCCAGAGGGCGTCGGAAGTGCTTGGGAAAATGGGAGGTGAGATTGGAGAGAAAGCAGTGGATAGCGAGCGGAACGACACGATCGGCAAGCATGGTAATGCCGTCAAGGGCCAGGAGGACTGATTCGAGAACTCCAAACAGATGAAGGAATCGAACGGCCTGAATGCTGCAACTACTTCGAACCAGAGCAGCCCACGAGCCTCGTTTGCCGAAGTGGCCCAAGTCGCCAGCTAACGAATCTGCGGACCGTGTCGATGCGATCAAAGCCATCCTGATTCAGTGATACGATCTACTGAACGACCGACAAGTTATGAGTCGAAGTGAGCGAGAGATGGAGTGCAAGGGACCCACAGTTGCCAATTGCAACGTACACGTGACGGGGAGGCACCCAGCAGAGACCAGAAAAGTATAAGAATGCTATCATCTCATTATGACCAACTTGATTCGGTAGAAATTATTTTGTTTTCTGCAGTGCGCAACGGTGTGGAAATACGGCCGGGTGAGTTTCTTCCAATAAGTGTCGGCAGGGAGACTGCTCGACGGAGGAGCACGAGAGTTGACTTTCTTCTTGGCATGCAGCGTGTATGTATTACTGGGGTCGTTCTGGGTCGAAGGTTCGTGGTCATGGCGCCACCCACACCGCCAAAATCTCAGCAGATGCCGTCGCGAACTTGTTTCTGCTGTGAACACCCTGATTGCGCACCTCTGAAGGAGCGCCGCCTATGCAGCCGTTGGTATCTGATACGATGGGCGTCATCAACAAAGGCAGCACCCTTGAATATGATCCAGGAGCTGGAACAGCGTCTTGGTGACCGGCGCTTCTCTATTCAACCCGTCGTGTGGAGATCGGGTGTCTACGAGCCCTTTGTGAGGGTCGAGTTGGATGTGTCCGATATCGTCTTTGTGGTAAGACCAAGTCTTCTCCCACTGCCAGGAAGTCGTTTCTTTAGTGTCTCGACGAGTCGCTCCTGCCCCCTGCATTGCTGTTGGCAAGCCATCAAGGGGAACGTGCCTTATTGGTTGGCATGTTTCCGATCAAATGAGACAAATGTCATCCTAGGGGAGACAGACCTGGGGCAGGCTCTGCTTGAGGAAATTAAAAGCATTGTTGGAGCAACTGGTGGTGAGCAAGTTATGATGGAATAAACTGCGTGGATCCTCTGCCCACTTGCTAAAATAACCCATCTGATGCCTTTAATCCGTCTCACAGTCATTCCCATAGCGCCTTGCCCCCCAACTTGAGTGCCGAGGGTGAATTTTGTATATTGCAGGAACACCTTGATAACGTGGTGTGCGCTGTCTCATACTCACCGAAGGTCCAACAGCTTCGTCCTTTAGTTCCTCAAGGTACTCCGGAAATACATCGTGATTCGAGTGCTGCCTTGTGAACCTAATAGCACTTGCTGTTAACGGTTCGCCCCTAATTAAAAGCTCCACGGCGGTATGCTGGTTTGGAGCTTATTTCCACAGTAGCCCTGAAATGCGCTTCTATTGCCTTACACGAGCAGGTGATCCAAAGTCGTGCAGACCCGACAGCAAGGCCACCGGAGAGCCGACCGTTACCATATTACCAGACATCGATCCGCTCCGAGGACGACTGACATCGGGGGCGTCGTTGTCAGGCCCTTGTCCACTCGCATCCCCTACCCGGGGGCGGCTCTTGACGGACCTTCGGCAAATGGGACATGTATTGTGTTCCTTCAACCACCTAACGATGCACTCCTGGTGGAACATGTGTTTGCAGGACAAAATAACACCAGTGGCTCCGACTTTGAGGTCATCGAGGCAAACGGCGCAATGCGCCTGCCCTTCCGTTTCGAGCGTCTTCTGGTCCACGGTTTGTCGATCGAGAGATGAAAGTGCACTCTCAGAGGCTGGAGGAGATGCACTATACGCGGGGCTCGAATCCACCCACAGTATTATTCGGCTAAGTACCAAATGTGACGGAACGGAGCTACCAGAAGTAACACTCTCCGGGCGAGGCAACCCCGACATACCGGAATCGTGGCTTAAGGGGTGATCTGCTCCACCGTCAATGTCCCTGTGTAGGGATAAACTAACACCAGAACCAGAAGTGGCGCTGCATTGGTCTAATTAGTCCTACGCAGTCTTGCCCTTTTACGCCTTCGGCTGTATCTTTGAGCGGAGGTAGGTAAGGACCTACCGCTGATGCGAGCTGCCAGGCCCGGGATCATGGCCAATACAGTGCCTGTTGGGCCTGTGCCTCGCGAAACATACAGCTCGTCCAAAAGTTGGGCCTGGGATAACGACTGGATGATTGAGAGCTCCAAGAATTGCCGCACGATGTCCAACCGTTGGCAAGCCGAGATCTCCGCTACCACGTGCAGGTGGGTCAGTGACAGCCTCTCGTGAGCCAGGGTGTAGGACATTGAATCTCCACGCAGAAGCCGTGGAGGATTGACATTGTTGGGATGGATCATCGACATCGACCAGCTTTAACTTATGAGCTATAGTGTCTCAACTTCGTCAATTGTTCTTCAGAGTACATACTATTTCTGTCACAGAGCTCCCGCATTGGGGACAAATCAGATCATGCGTGATGCGGAACCACTCGTGGGTGCAGGCATGGCAGTAAACAACCCCCCGGCCGACAACAACATCCAAGTCGCCGCCGTGGTGGCCGCTGAGGGGAGTGTAAGCCTGTGGCATCTTCGTGATTAAACGGTCAAGCGACTGGGGCCAACCAGGCGCAACCACATGCAAAAGCTGTCTGGCGGGAGACCGGTGGCGGACGATGATCGATCCTCGAGTACCGCACGTGCTCAGGTGGCAAGCAGA